CTTCGAAGGCAAAATTGGAAATTCCAAATTTTCATTAAATTAAATCCAATCTTAATAATATTTTGGGTCGGGATGTTACAAAATGTTCTAGTATAGGGGTAATAACACTGCTAGTTTCCTATGAAATCCTATTTCTAATGCATATCTACCCCTGTAATGTTTTAGTCTAGAGTATTAACACTGCTAGTTTCTATGGCATCCTATTTCTAATGCATATCTACCCCTATAATGTTCCAGTCTAGAGTAATAACACTGCTAGTTTCTTATGAAATCCTATTTCTAATGCATGCCTACCCCTGTAATGTTCCAATCTAGGGTAATAACACTTCTAGTTTACTTTCATGTTGATTAATGCCTGTCATGTTGCTATTTCTGATACATGTCTACCAAAGAAATGATGAAGAAAGAACAAACCAAACCAACTCAAAACAAGCCGAGCCCAGATTGTTAATACTACTATGTCATAGAAGTACATTGTTAATACTCTGTCATAGAAGTACATTGTTAAACAAAAATGAGATCCATAACTGAAATAGTAACAAAAGATAAATCAATTATCAAAGCTTAAAATACATTCCGAAAATCAACTAAAATCCAAAGAGAAACACATAATTGAAGCAAAAGATCAAAAATCTCAAGTCCAACCCAAACGACGATGACTGCGACAATGACATGGAAAAAGAGGAGTAGAGCTCGAAGATGGGGAGTAGAGCTAGGACCATCTGATTGAGGTTCGTTCGAGGTTCCAAACAATCCGGAAAAAAAAAATATGAATAGAAGCATGATTTTAGAATAAGAAATTGAAGGTGAAATATTGAAAATTGTAGATCAGAGATGAAGAATGTAGTTGGACCTGAGATTGAGCTTCAATGGAAGCTCCTCTTGCTCCAACACCGAGAAAGCACCAGCGAGAAAGGAGAAAGTGAATATGATTTAGTTTTTTGGCAGATCTGATTTGGTTTTTTTGACAAATCTGATTTTTCTATCCTAAATCCATAGTACAAGGGCAATATAGGTATTTTACACCACATATAAACTAAAAAATAGCTATTAAATTGAAAAAATCGACAGCTGTCAATTTTTCAATTTTTTTTGGGTGTATTTATAGTTTTTAAATGGTATAGGGTTTTTCTATAAGACTATGTCTAAGATTGAGTATATAACTGAATTTGTATATAAAATAAAATAATAAGTATATTATTATCCATGAAAAACTAGGTATAGTAAAACTTTAATAAATGAAATTCAAAATCCAAAATTTTTTTAAAATAATAATGAAATCCCCTGCGGCACTTCTTTTTAAATCAACCCTAAGGTACTTTTATTGAACCAAAAACCGAGAGCATGCGTAGAAAGGAAAAGATGGAACAAAATTTAAAAAAGGCAAGCAAATAAGGAAAACTAAGCATTTCCGGCCAACTCATTGTTGACTATTAATGAATTTTAATAATAAAACGGATAATTAATTGCATACAAAATTTTTGAAGGGGATCACCACAATAAAATTAAAACACCACTTCATTACACGTTGAATTGTAAATAGGGGTATTTTGGGAATAAAAAAATTATAATAAATCAGATATTGAGCTTAATAAAGTAACTTGATGAGTTGGATCCTAGTCATGGGAGTTGTACGTTCAAAACCCATAATATTAATAGAAAAGTTGATATAGATCCAAATTTCCATTGAGAAGTTTGGTTTAATCCTCGGATTTGGTGACTTTGATCCAACATGGTAAACTAGTACTAATCTAGGTTGAAAATTGCTTCAGCATCAATTATATTATTGAATTGGAAACCCTGTCTTGCATTTGGGGTCGCTTTAATTAATGTGGAATTGCATGTGGATCATATATATAGCAAGGATTGCCTATATATTATTTCTCTTTAAATTACACACATATATGCATAACAAGAGAAAGAGGCCTACAAAACCTCTGTTATTCTAGCTATTTTTAGTAGTTCAGTGCATATAAGAGGCAGTGGAAAAGCCATTATTTAATTATGGTCCACAAACCATCTATTATACACTTCACTCTCCGTCTTCACTGGAGTCATCGCTTTCGCTTCCAGAACTGGACTCCTCTTCTACTTGTTTCTTGCGGCCAATGTACTTGTTGCCAAACCCGAAAACTCCGGCCTTGTCTGCTTTGTCTCCGTTAATAGTATTCCCCCTAATTCTGAAAACATCGCCTGATGGCTTGCCTTTCTTTTTCTTAGAGCCATTCTTTGTTTTGCTGCCACTTTTTCCATTGCTCTTGGAAGAAGCTGCTGGCTGGGGGGCATTACCTGGTGGCCTCAAGAACCTGCTGTTTTGGTTCTCCAAGTTAGGCTTTAGAAATAGCTGGCCTGTCGACATTTTTTTATCTTAAGTTTGCATACACATCTTGGTAATTAACTTGGGTTCTTATATAAGTGTTAGCTTTGTCGAGAAGATAATGCGATGTGATTGATTGATACTCCTTCCTGATATGGACGGAATATGATTCTTTCTTAGCACGTAAAGAATTGGCTTCCGATTCCCGAAAGCTTTCAAACGCTTTTTAAATATTCCAATGGAGTTGCATGCGTGAGGAGTACTGGGTTTTTTTTATTAAGGACTTACCCATACTTGATCGATAATACAATGAATGAACTTTATTCTTAGCATCAAACGAAAAGAAGATGGTGGGTACTAAATAATTTATATGTAAGGAATTTTATCAAACAGTTTGTCCCCATAGCACTTTGCTCCAAAGAGTATGAATTAATTTCACGGTAACAAAAAAGACCTAATAAGGGTAATAGCCTTCACTCGCCCTTAAATAAATCTGTCACTGTTTAGCCATAGGCGATTGGTAAGCCCACGAATCAACTTTATTCGTACCATCAAATAAAAACAAAATTTTATTCTGACTACACCTTTTCTTTATATACCCTTTCTCTTTTGCTACGAAGACGTAAAGCTTTACGGCCAAGGGCGGACCTAAGCTTAGGCTGGAGTGGGCTCCAGCTTAGGGGAAGATTTATAAAGTATTGAACATAGTTTAAATGTTATAAGCTTTATTTCTACTCTAATAAATATTAGCCCACTCCTAAAGCATATGGGAAATAATAACATCAATCCAAACCTATATAAATTCACCGAAAAAATCATTATAAGTGATTCAAATTGCCTCTTTACTTACTCAACTGGTGTGCAGATTACCTTATTTCCTATATAAATTCACTGGAAAAATCATTATAAGTGCTTCAAATTGCCCCTTTACTTACTCAACTGGTGTGCAGATTACCTTATTTCCATTTTCAACATTTAAGTAAATGTTTTTGTCCTTTTACTTTCATTTATTTTTATATTACTCCATTTACTTAAGTTTACAATGTAAATAAGGAAGTACCCCCCATTT